GAATGGCACAGAAGTTAAAGAAAGCAATAGAGAGGAAGTAGAAGAGCGTTCTAAGGGAAGCAAGAGTGTGTAGAAAGGCACAGAGACATATGAGAACACTGCTTGTCTTAGGGAACTGTAAATCTGCTCAATCTCTGGCTATGCTCTGAGGATTGGTACTATGCAAAGATGAAAACAGAGAATCAGGCAGCAGCCAGACCTCAAAGGAGTCTAGACACTTAAGTAATGTGTTTACTCTGAAGGCAGAAGAAATTTATTGAACCATTTTAAAGGTAAGAGTAACATGATAAAATCTGTTTTAGAGAGTTTCATATGATCACAGATGAGAAGACAACTTGAAAAGGGGCAAGCCAAAAGTAAGAAGACCAGACAGGGGCAACTGCATTAATCCCAGACTCAGAGACACATGTGAGAAACGTTTGGGAAGTAAATCACAAAACTAGTAGACAGCAACTCTGACTACATTATGAATGTGTTTTTAAAGAAGCAACAAAGACCATACCAAAATTCAGAGTCAATGCCATACTTGGTAAGACAGCTTATGTATTTTGTAATCATTTTACAGCTATTATAGTCATGAAGTTAGCACAATCTACTTTTGAATCTTAAGCACTGACAGGACTAAGGAACATTTATCAACTTCCTCTATTAAATGGTTTCTTTAGGTACACTTTATGAAGCTGCTTCTCAGGAAATACTTTAGCAGAAGTTGGATGACCATGGGTCATATAAAAATGATTTTCAGAGTAGATGACTTCTAAAGTCCCTTAAATTCAAGCCTCTAAAAGAAGAAATACCATAACAAGTATTTCACAATTACTAGGTATTTCAAGTACAGATCTCTATAGCTATCTAATGGGGCTGAATCACAGAGAGTAATTCCAAATACTACTCTGATACTATTAAAATTTTTTTGGTACTTAAAACCCTAACATACTATGTTTTCAACTGCTTTGGTAATATGAACAGGATTACAAAATCAACTACAATGTCACAAATTCCTTAAAAATTCACAGCAAGTAATATTCTAAATTGGCTGCAGGACTGCATAAAATCTCAAACAGGAAAATGATTATTTCCACTTCACTGTCACCAAGCCCTATGTCTGATAACTAGCACTGAGGAAAAAGGACTTCATTTGGTTGAAGTAGGAAAATGCCCTGCAGCATGCAGAAGAGCTGGCCCATCATTCCAGATCTCTAAAATAGCTTCCCCTTCCCATTAGTTAAAGAGGATGGATGCCATGTCACAAGCTCTTACAGAGGTTCTTTGATTCAAGGAGTTACTCAGTGAAACCCAGGACTGATCCCTGCATACAGTGAATCCCAAATCAGTGAACAGACTCTGAAATTATACAGCAGTCAGTAAAATGGCATAAAGAAGTCAGCTCTTTACTTTCAGATTCTAGGCCGTCACTAAATTAATCAATATTCTTACACTTAATAAACACTTTAGGTGAAAAAAATAATAATTCTACCATAAGAATCCTGTAACAAAATTCTATGTCACATCTGAAAGCAGGAATACAAGACTGGCAGGGCAAAAATATAATTATAAGCATATAAACAGATTTCCATTTCTGGCCAAGACGGAATAACAGGAACCAAATTTACCCTCCTGCTTGAAACAACTGGGGGGAAAAAAGACGAAACATATGAAGCATTTTTCAAAACAATGGACATCAGCAACAAAGGACAATAGATCCCTAATAGATGGGAAACATACAAGATGAGTCCTACAACTGCCCCACTTTATTGCCTTGAAAGAGTTTCTAGGCCACAGAACAGGAATAGGGAAACTAGGCAGAGCACAGTGGTCTCCCTGAGTTGAAACAGAACTTAGTCTGGAGACAGCAAGACTGTCATATACAAGGCAGAGTGCCTGAGACAGAGCTACACAGAAAGTTCCAGAGACGTGCAGAGGGTACACCCCAAGTCTTCAGCTGAGTACTTATCAGTATATACTACCCATGGACAGTGAAAGAACCACCAAAAAGGATTAGAGGGAACACCACCCAGTTCCTGTTCTCACCAGTCAAAGTACTCAGAAGGGTTCTGCCTCAACAGTGCAACAAAGGCAAAGTAGTACTGCCTAGCACAACTTAAAAGCAAGATCTGAAAAGATCAAATTGTTTCCAAGTAATTTAACTGCATTCCAGAACAAAGCTCAAGAATATTTTTAATGGAATACAAAAATATCCAGCACCCAACAAGCTAAAATTTCAAATGTCTGGCATCTAGTAAAAAATTACCATGCATGCAAAAGCAAGAAAACACAATTCATAATGAGGAAAAATCAATCAAATCACACAGCTGGTATTAGTAGACAGGAACATTAAGCCAGTTATAACTGTAGTCTGTATGTTCAAGAATCTAGAGAAGAAAACAGCATGAAAGCTATAGACATGAAGGATATAAAAAAAGACTGAATTTCTAGAGATGGAACTACAACATCTGAAATAAAAAATACACTGGATGGGATTAATAGCAGATTAAATATTACAGAAAAAAGATTAATGAATTTAGCAAGATTATCCAAAATGAAACAGAAAAAAGACTGAAAAAATTGAACATCAGTGAACATCAAGCAGTCTGAAATACATGTAACTGGACTTCCAAAAGAAAGGATGAAAAGAAATATATAAAGAAATTGGCCAAAATTTTTTTCCAAATTTGAACTACAAACCCACAGATCCAAGAGGCTCAATAAACTCCAAACACAAGAAATATGAAGAAAAACACATAAAGTTGCATTTACAAAGAATTCTCACCTGCAAATTCTATAACCAAATGTAATCCAGAAATTACTTACACTGATGTTAACTTTAAGGTTAACCTACTGGGTACAGTTTCAGCTGACAATTTAATAGAGTACTTTACCTCAAACATTAATTTGAGTAAAGTGCTTAATAGAAATCTTGATTTCAAAATTAGCAAAATAAAGCTTTTAAAATTATACTGTTACCCTATTAGGCAAATAAATAGGTAATAAATTAAAATATATTTGTGTTGATCTTATTTTAGTAAATTTTTTTTAATATTAAAACATACTTTTTAAAAAATTTCCTTTTCCTTTAATTTATATAGGTCATCCACAACAGAAATAGGACACTGAAAAAACTTTTAAAGAAACTGAGAGGTGGAACTGAAAACAGAAGCAGATTTGAGGTTTGGAATGGAGCTGGTCCTCCCCAAAAAACAACCTGGTAACCACTATTTTGGGACACCATTACTTCAAAATATACATATATATTATTTTAAGTATAAAACTGTACCCAAAGTGGAAACAAGCAAAAGTGCCTGTTTTTAGCACCACAGACAACTCTTCAGAATTAAAAAAAAAATCTTTTTTTTTTTGGAAAAAGAATCATTCAAATTAAAAGCATTAAAGGGGAAAACTAAAGTATTTTCCTATTTTTGTGAACACACCTTTTTTTTAGGGTTCAGCATACAAATTCAAAATTTTCTGTCTAAAAACAAACAAGAAGAGAGACATAGGGGAACAAGTTCTGAGTATCTACTGTAATGGCTACCCTTCCTGTCATCTGTGTTCCCTAAAATAGAAGTCAGTTTAATTATTCTACCATTTTGGTTAGGAAATAGTGGGATATTTCAAAGATTAAAAATAGTTCCATAGAAGAGCTGCCAAAAATATATTAATTATCCCTAGAAATAATTAATATCCAAATTCCCTTTTACTTTCTTTAAAATATATACCACATTTAGATAACATATATTTCTTTGGGTGCCTATACAAATGAACACTTTTGGAAAATATGTAGTAGTATAATACAATATTTTCCTGTAGGATTAATTAACACATATATGAAAAACAGCATACAAATCTCTCCAAGCATACAGACCACAAGTATCTGAGTACACAGACTGAGAAGTTAACAGAAAACAGTAATTTAAGGATTTGACTTATACCTTCTTTCAGGTAAAAAAATCTGAAAAAAACCCTAATATCAAAAAACATAAAACTGATCATTTATATGTTATTAGTCTATTAACAGTAGACTTATTCTCTGCTAACAATTATTTATTAATAATGCACTAAATTCCCACATATATAAAAAGAAAGCCCTGAATTTGAAAGTTCCAAACTACTCTTGTAATGAGGTTGTATTCAAAAGAAGGCTACACATTTTGAGCACACCTGTAATACTCACTACACTGATGTGCTGAGAATGTATGCATGCCACAATACATATAATGGATAAAAATGGAGTTTTTATTTCACTGATTCAGCTACCAATATGATTTCGATATTCAATTGCCACTTCACACTTTTCTACTTAATATAAACCAAATATCATAAACATAAGACAAAGATTTGCCTAGTAAATCATTATCTAATTGACATCAAGATTTCAATCATCTGCATTTCAAAACTAGCTCTAATACTGTAAAATGATCCCCCAAATATTAACCTAATAATTCACAAATAAATCACCTAGACTTTAGTTATCATATGCATTTTAATTACTTGCTACAACAGTCCTCACCAATTAGAACTGCTCTTTGAAATTCTCTCCTCTGAAATCTGTTATTACTTCACCAGTTTCAAATTTTGAGCCATTTATTTTTAGACACAAAGGTTAATAAGAAACATTTCTGCACCAAATGCACATAACTTTACAGTAAAGGCCTTTCCCCCCCTTAGGAAACTATTCTAATTCTCCCTCTCATCTTATCAAATTATCAAGGAGGACACAATGTGGTTTGAATTTCAGCACTGAATACAGTAAGTGACAATACTTGATTTACAAAATAAAAAATAAAAGTTTCACAATTTTAACAGGTATAATTCCTGGTTTGTGATAAATGGGCTGGGCATGTTAAAATTATCATTCCTTTCAAGGTCCAATTCTTAAACTACCTAAATTTTTCTGGCCAAAGAATTAAATTCGGATCTTAAAACATAAAGTGTCTAAATTCACAGTATGCTAATTTTTCAGAAAAAAAAAGTTGCCTAAGAAGAAAGAAAAGAATACTTACATTTGGAGCATGACCTGGTTCAAGAAAACCCCATCCACCAAAGCCACATATTCATCCAGGTTGGTCCCATTTCCTGCAGCCAGAGGTCCAAACGTTTTAACCTAAGAACAGAATGATGATCATCACGACAGAACGCCCACCTCCATCTCTGCAGCCACAAATAATGCCGCAAAATATGCAATAAATACTACCCCACTTACCCAAGTGACCAAGGGGCTGGTCATGAACTGCTCCAGAAGGGGAGTAAAAATCTCGTTCTCCATTTTACAGAAAATGTATTTGAGAAAAGGAACTACCACAAAAATACGCCTAGGAAATTGGTCACTAAACGGTGAAGAAGTAAGTAGAAATCAATGAAAGTCCATTTTGGCACGGGAAAAAAATCCCATTGTGGAGGGGAGAAAAACTCTCCCTCCTCAAAAAACACCCCAGAGGAAAACGAGCCGAAATCCCGAGAAGTGGCTTCGACAGCAGCCACGAGCGGCAGGCTGCCCTGGAAATGTCTGTACCGGGCGAGGAGGGGCAGAGAAAAGGCATCTGGAGGAGGAGGAAGGGAAAAAGGGCTGGAGCAGCAAGACAAAAAGCCCGTCAAGGTTGCCCAGCTCCTGGAGGAGCCAGACCAGCAAGGCTGCCCCCAATGAATTAATCCCAAAGTGGGCTAATTGAAATCCCACGATTGAGATTATGTTAAGGGTTCCGAGCCGCCGCCAGGCTCGACCTCCGCGTTCGGCTCAACACGTTCCACCCACCAGTGGGCATGGAGCCGCTTTGACCCGCGGAGCCTCGCCTGCCCGTAGCCCCTCACCAACGACAGGCAGGGCTCGCCCCTTCCCCCCGAGCAGCCACCATCCCTCCGCCGCCCTCGAGCCTCGCTGCCTGTCCCCTTCCCCTCCCAGGGGGTGGGGGCTTGAATGTTGTCCCTAAGCCACCAGTTTCCTGAGCCCTGCCAAGCCTTTTCAGTGCGCCTCTGGGAAGCCCTGGCACAAAATCACCGCCGCGCTCCAGCCTCCTCCTCCGCCCTCTCTGGAGGAGTCCGAATAACGGCCTCAGAACCGCAGTGCCGCATCACACCCCGCTCCCCGCCGCCCAACCAGCGCCGCTAACCCGCCGTCAAAGGGAGCGCGCTTCTCCCTCCGCGCCCATATCCTTCCGCCGACTCCCCGCCCCTCCGGCGCCACAGCCTCTCGGTTGTAGGAGAAGAAAACCGCTGCATGAGCGCGCTCCCGAGCGCGCGCGCCCCCAGGCCAGCCCCGCCGCCGCCCATATCCCGGTGGCGGGCGCGTCGTGAACGCGCACTCGCTGCAGCTGCTGCGGTGGCCGGCAGCTCGCTCCCGCGCAGGACGGTTGCCAGGGGCTTGGGGGGGCGGGGATGGGAAAGGCCGAGGAAGGGGTCTGTTGCTCTCTCGCTCTTGCCTAATTATGGTTTATTTCCTCCCCGAATGCCTTCTTTGATGTGTGAAGGAAAGAGAACGAAATCCCTCTCTTTTAAACATAAGGGGTGCAGACAACCTTTTTCGAACAGTTTGATTTGATCTGTTAAGCGTGCTTTCGCCAGCAAAACGGAAAACTCACTGCAGTAAATAGCAAAGGAGGCACTTCGGCCTCAAACTTGTGCGGTTCTTTTTTCCGCCTTTTTTTCTTCCCCTTCTTCTTCAAAAAAATCCAGTCCACGAAAGCATGCATGCTCTTCAAAGTTGCAAGTGAATGTAGTAGGATTTTAAATAATCAAAGCTGTCTTTCAACACGTTGGTATTCCCTGACGGAGCAAACATAATTCAGACATTGTTGTTGGACTATTTGGCGATTGAAGAAAATCCAAACAAAATCAAGAGCTACTAAGAGGAAACATTTGGAAATCATCCAAGCTGGGTGACAAATAAACAGATTACATATTTGTCATAAATTTCAATGCTGTGCACGACTGGAACCATCAAAGTAATTTTAACAGTTCCCCAGCAAAATCAAATGTTACCCCTTCTCATTCTGAAGGAAAATAAAGACTTTTTTCCCTGGGACAAAATGGCATGCAAAACAATTTTTTTGAGAAAATAAATATAGTATTATGGTTTTGCAATATGTGCTGTTTAAATTTACATAAATATCTACTTTGAGTACTTATATATTTTAAATTAGCACTGAACATGTTTTTGCCATAATACTGAATTAAGAAACAGCCCACTTTCTTAATTAGGTTAAGAGCCTGGGCTCTAGAGTCTTACTGACTGGTTCAGATCCAGTCTCCAACACTTACCAGCTGTGTGAGTCTAGGCAAGTCTCTGAACCTCTCTGCACTTCACTTTCTTAACTTGTAAAGCAGAGGTAATAATAGTGTTAAATCAAACGGCAACCTACAGTAAGTGCTCTGTAAATATTATTGCTGTTGTTTTCATCATTATTCCCTTTGAATTAAGAATCTTGAGGGGGAAATTTGAAATGTAAGTTCTTTTACTTCAGTTGCAGAGTAAAGAGTCTTGCTTTGGAGAGCAGGAAAGTGCCCCTCCCAAATCATCTTAATTAAAGTCAGGATGCATTCATGTGGCACTTTGCTAGGTGGTATACAGAGTAGAATCCTGCATTGCCCTGGCCAGTACACAAGCCTTGGGTAGTCTTAGTTGCTAGCAATCTTTTCCTTCTGCCCTTGATGATTCTTTCTTAATCACAATGCTTTATTTGGAAACAGACCAAGAGTGAGCATGCACCAAGAAGGAAGCAAAGCGTTCAAGAGCACCCAGTGCCACTTTTCTTTTAATCCTTCAGAAACTTGATTAAACAGCATGGAAGTGTTCGTGCCTATGCTATGGTTTCTCTTAAAACAAACCAAACTTCTTCATTCATAGATGAAAAATCCATTAAGTTTAACACAAAGTACAAATGAAGGGCATTTTGGACAGTGATGACTAGAGTTTAGCACAGGAGTTGTGTGTTAAGATAGCATTGTTTATCCTCTTTACATTTAGTAGCTAGCCCTCACAGAAATCTGTATTCTCCTTTAGAACCAGATGGCCCCGGATGCTTCCTGGTTTATCTTTAGGTTTTACACACACACACACATGCACACACTCAACAAAGAAACATGAGGAGTTAATTGTAAAAACAGGAAGATTTAGACCAGACTGAGGTCTGGAGTAACTTATTTGAAAACCTACCAATTCACAATTCTCTAGTTTAACAGCAGCCTTAGAAACGCTTTAAAATATCTCAAGAGTACAATGAGGAAACTTCTCCGGCAAAAGAGGGATTGTACATTATACACAATTTAATGGTCTTTGAATTGCAACATCCTGTGAGACTAAATCCAAAAAGCTTCCTCCTATTCTCATTTCACTTACGAAGATTTCTCAAGATTTCTTCAAGGTACTTTTGTGCTTTGTCGTCATTTGTCCTCAATTCATCCTTTCTTAGAATGTTAAATCCAACAGGAAAGGACTTTGGAAAAATCATACCCATCTGGTTAAGGTCTAAGTTATTAGCGCTACTTTCTTCTAATCGGAAGTTAAATGGTTGAAATGGACCGTGATCCTGTTTAGGAATCTCTGGAGAAAGATTCTCCCCTGTGCATTATAATTGAGGCTTCCCCTGTAGGTTACACATACATAACACTACTCATGTACCAAAATCACCCATGTTTACCTCCATCTTGATTTACACTAGAGGAAGTGATAGACTTACCCCAAGCCGGGCTCCTTGGTGACACGTGTTTGCAAAACTAATCACATTCATAAGTTAGTATGATAAAAATAATGTAAATACAGTAACAGAATGGCACTGTTGTTTATAATAACCGAACAATGGAAACAACCCAAATGTCCATCAATTGATAATTGAATAAATTAAATGTGGTATATCCACACAATGGAATATAATTTGGCAATAAAAAAGAGTGAAGTACTGACACATGCTACAACATGGGTGAACCTTGAAAACATGCTAAGTTAAAAAAGCCAGTCACAAGTACTGCATATTGTATAATTTCATTTACATGAAATGTCCAGAAGAAACAAATTCATAGAGACAGAAAGTAGATTAGTATTTGTCTGGATCTGGAGAAGCTGGGAGGAAATGGGATTCATGTTTCAGGGGTATGGGTTTCTTTCTGAGAAAAAAAAAATTCTAAATTTGATTGTGGTGACGGATGCACAATTCTGAGAATATACTAAAAATCATTGAATTAGATAATTTTAGTGGCTAAATTGGCAATTATTTCTCAAAAAAATCTGTTTTAGAAAAAAAGAATGGTGCTATTGCTTCATGAATGTTTTTAAAAAATAATCATACCATCAAGAAATTTAATCTCTCATGGACTTTTCAGAAGGGTCTCTAAGTCTTCTTGTTCTAAAGAATACGATTTCAAACTCACCTAAGAATATAGAAGGCATGTATTTTAATTATCCAACATAATTTTAAGAGAAGCATACAATGGCACAGAGAGAGAGAGAAATTAGGTCTGTCACTTAACTTCTTTGAGCATCTATTTCCTCCACGGTAAAATGAGGATAGTGGTTTCATTCATTACTTGACCTTTGCTTAGACAGTGGACTTGTAGCTTTGTCCTGTATCTCAACTGGGCAGATGAAAGTGAAGTTGGAGATGGCAGGGCAGAGAATGGGGTCATCTTCTGAGCCCAGTCTTCAATGGCTCCTCTTAAACACCCTAATGCTGTGTTCCAAACAAAGTGAACCATCCCAAATTCACCATTACATTCCATGCCACCATCCCCTGAAATGCCCTTTTCTGCTTTCTAACAAGGTGAACCCCCAGCCTTCAGGATTCAAGTGTCACTCCTTCTGAAGCACTCCTCTTCCTCGGGTTGAGCTGACTACTCCCTCTTTTGTGCCTGCAGGTGATCTAATCTCCCTTTATTTCTGTAATTTACTCTGAATGGCATGTGTTTGCTGACATGCCCTTTTGGGAAGATGGGGAAATCCTGTAAAGTGACCTTGGTTTTTTGTCAGAGGCTTTCTTCAACCATGGTGACCAGTTTAAGTTCCTAACAACTGGCAAGAGCTCCCAGCTGAGCAGCTTCCCACAAGGACTATTCTAGCTAACTAATGACCTAGAGGAAGCATTAGCTGGTGATTACTGCTTGCCAGTGAGTTTGAAGAACTAAAAAGACATTGAGACCATAAAATACTTGGCTTTCAAGACAGCTCTTTTTCCCCCAAGTCTGTATGATTTTTTTTCTCAGAGAAAAGCATTGAAGAATACAGAAACATCATGTAATCTTTTACTTCTCAGACAGCATCTAATGATATTTATCCTCTTCAACATCCAAACTGTTTTTCATTTGTTATCATTTTGACGGAAATCTTGTAGAAGGGTATTATAATTGTCTGAGCTTTATTGGACAGCATATTCTGAAAAGAAACTGATCTTTTATTAAAGAGATATGTCAATACAATTGATCCAAATTATTGTGTTATGCTTTTAACATAACGATGTATTCAGAGGCTCTCAAGAGGTGCGAGGGTGTTTGGCCTACACTCAGAGGTCTCAGACAACTGTGTTTTGAGTTTTTATTTTACTTTCAGTAGTTTTCCTATCTTTTCTCCTGACTTTTTTTTTGTTGTTGGTGAAAATATCTCTATCGAGAGCTCTATCGAGAGTCTCCGTTCAAATTTGCTGCTTCTAATTTTCTATGTGCAGGGAGTTCACAGATTGTTAAAACAGTCTGAAAGAATTAATTGTTGCATCTCTACATACAGCTTGCAAGGATGGAATATAACACTCTGTGAAGAGCAAAGATAACCATCACCACCTTTTGGGGAAAAAAAGACAAAACTGCATACTGGCTGCAGGTATTGGGAATCCAGGACCCAAGACTTCTTTTTTTTAATTAAGTAATTAATTTTTTATTGAAGTATAGTTGATTTACAATGCTGTGTTAGTTTCTAGTATACAGCAAAGTGACTCAGACATGTGTGTGTGTATATATACATATATGTGTGTATATATACACACACACATGTATATGTATACACATATATATATAAAAGAATGAATAATTTTTGAGTGAGGACCTGATAGGCTCTCCTATGAGTACAGCCCATGAATGTGTGATATGCCTAAAAGTGTCTCTTGGTGTAATGTTTCAGCTGT